TTTTATAGTCCAGGGCCACCCTGATATTTCTTATTTTATACAAATTTCATGCTCATGTAATTCCTAGTACAGTCTATCCACACCCCAGTGGACCGTTTTACTCTCATACCACCTCGAAACAAACACCGTAACCTGCTGGCCAGCACTCAGAAGGCTGACTCTGAAAGTATGTCATGTATTCACATAGTGTGGGCAGGCATGTCACTGATTATCAGGACGCTGGCAGAGTTAAGACTTCTTCGACAACCAGAATTGAGAAAAATAGAGTAAAAAAGAAAACCCTCATTGTGTTTTATTTCTTGTGTCATGCTGTACATGCCAACATATTTTCTTCTTCACGTCCACTCTTGGAATACTCTCTCATTACAGGAGCGGTGAGTCACCGTTAAAGGAATTGTTGCGACCTGCTCCACCCATGAGTATAAGCTAAACTATGGACATCTTGAGTTCTCAGGGGGTTATTTATCTTGGGAGGGTTGATCACACTTTGCATGATCATATGGCACAGATGTTTATTCATGAAGATGACCTCAAGTGAAGCAAGAAATTTCTTGGTCTGACTATTTAAAAATTCAGCCAAATGTCCACCCAGTGGGCAAACCCCAGTTCCAGAAGAAATTAAAGCTGAGATGAACAGAAGTGTGATGGATCAGGACTGATGTAGGCTGACAGACTTGAGTGAGAGGTCTCAAGACAGACAAAAGGGTGTGTGCTCAATGATGGCGGGTGGGGGGGGCAGGGAGTAATCAGGGCAGAGTTACAAAGGGAGGGGATAAAGTAGCACTTATATGCTTCTTCTGTGAATCCAAGCTTCTCTCATTTCCTCTGGGTGAGAATTACATCTGCAATGTAATATAAACCTAGAGACTCAGTCAGTCTTACAGACCCCACTGTCACTGCCAGCCTTCAGCAAATCTGCCAAAAGGAGGCTCTTCCTCCTTCCATTAGGCCCTGCTATTTAGGCCTTTCCCTCAACCACACCTTAATGTCTCCCTTTAGCACTGTGGTTTTCCACGTGTGGCCTTTGGACTGGCAACATCAGCATCACCTGAGTGCTTGTCAGAAATGCTAATTCCCAGGTGCCATCCCAGACCTACTGATTAAGAAACTCTAGGACCCACAAATCTGTGTTTTCTCAAGGGCTCCGGGTGATTCTGAGGCACACTAAAGTTTGAGAACCGCAGCTTTAGATGACATTGAGAGAGCATGGGGGCGCCTGGGTGGCTCAGTAGGTTAAGCGTCTGCCTTCGGCTCAGGTCATGATCCCAGAGTCCTGGGATCGAGCCCCACATCAGGAGCCTGCTTCTCCCTCTCCCTCTGCCTGCCGCTCCCCTACTTGTGCGCGCTCTCTCTCTGTTAAATAAACAAATAAAATCTTTAAAAAAAAAAAAAAGATGAGAGAGCATGTGCATTTTAGGAGAGGACTTACAAAGAAGGGAGTAATTTTCTAGCAGTGGACTCTCAAGTCATGTGACAGATAGTGAGGGAGATTTAAGGCTGCTGAATTTGTTTGGGCCCTTACCATCTCTCACTTTTAATCTCACCTACTTCAGTCTTCTCCCCACATTGCCACTAGAGACATGTGCTTGGCCTGAAAAATCTGACCATGTCAAACCCCAACTTAAAAACCCTTCAGTGGGGCGCCTGGGTGGCTCAGTTGGTTAAGCGACTGCCTTCGGCTCAGGTCATGATCCTGGAGTCCCGGGATCGAGTCTCGCATCAGGCTCCCTGCTCAGCAGGGAGTCTGCTTCTCCCTCTGACCCTCTGACCCTCTTCCCTCTCGTGCTATCTCTCATTCTCTCTCTCTCAAAAAAATAAATAAAATTTTAAAAAAAAAAAAAAAAAAAAAAAAAAACCCTTCAGTGGCCGCTCCTTGCCCGTAAGAAAGTTCCAAACCCCTGGCACAGGATCCAGGGCCCTTCATCATCTGCCTCTGGGCCACCTCCCTGGCTGTTTCCTTCTGCACTTTCCCTCCTACTCAGCCATACCTCACTGTCTGCAGGAGGCTCATATTTCCCCATCCCACTGACATGGGGTTTGGCTATGTGACTTATCTTGGCCAAGAGCACAAGAGTTGAAGTGATGTCTGCTGCTACTTCTGAGCAGATATTAAGTGCCGTACTTTTGTTTTATCATGTTCTCTTTTTTCCCATTCCCGTAAATGAGATCAGTATTGTCCCAAAAAGAGGCTGTTTCTTAAGCCTCAGTGGGGGGGGGGGGGGTGTCTCAGAATGAAAACAGATAAGGAGCAGAACCATAACTGACCTGCACTGGACTTGCAGCATAAGTGTGAAATAAGCCCCCTAACTCATTGAGATTTGGGGGTTATTTGTTATTTTGCTTAAGCTGACCATTACAGCACATTTGATCCCCCATATCCCTTCTGTCTAGAATGTCTTTCTCCTCTGCTCTACCTTTCCTTCCAATCCCACCTCAATCCTATCTACATAAGAGATTTGCTCATCATTCTACACTCAGCTCAGGTGTTATCTCCTCAATCAAGTCTTTTTTCGTTCCTAAGTATAACTGATCGACTCCCACCTGTAGGATCCCCTTTGGATGCTACAGACCTGTAATGATGTCCTTGGAACTTTGCATTCATTAGCGCCATCTTTAGAACAACTCCTCTTGAAAAAAAAAAAAAAAAAAAAAGAGCCCTCATTTTACAGAGTGGGAGACTTTGGCTCAGAAAAGCAAGGCAACTTGTCTACATTTCCCAGCCACAGAAACAGAGTTTTCACCGAGTGTGGGGCTGGCTCTGAGCTCAGCAATCTTTCTCGTGCCCCACATACCTCCCTCCCTCCTCCATCAGCAAGCTTTCAGATCATCCCATTCTGGTGGAGAGAGTAAAAGTCTACTTATCAACAACTTAAAAGGTTGTGGAATTAATTTGACACTTGAAAGACTTGCATCTGGAAGTGGGCTTCTTACCCCTGAGAGATAATCACTTCCTCTAAGTGGATGGATGTATTCGAAGGCTCCTGGGGAAAGCACTGAGGTGCTTGCAGAACTGAAGCATTTTGTCTGTACCTTTCCCAGGTAGTGTGGTGTGCTAAGCCAGGCAGACTTCCACTGACATTGCCCTCGGGAACCTTAGGAAAGGTCCTTTTGGGTTTGTCACAGGACAGGATGTTAAGGAGCAGAGGGTTCAGAATTCCAAGTAAGTCAGCTACATATTGATATTTTTCGGTGAATGAACAAGGAAAAGAACAAGGATAGAAAAGTGACACAGTGGCAAAGAACTGCACTAGCCCACCCCGGTCAGACACCGGAATAACTGCCTAAAGTGGGAAGGGCAATTTTAGGTTTCCATGAGCTGCTGGCTCTTTGTTGTGTGGTTGGGCTTTTTATTTTTCTCCTCCTTTCCCGCTCTTTAAACTTGTCTAAGGGAGGACTGGAAAGTATAAGAACCTTCAAGTCCTCCCCCATCAGCCATACCAATCAAAGATGAGCAGTCAACAAAGTACCAAGATACTCTTCTCACACGACACTCACAACAATTTTTTCAAGGTTACAAAGCTTTTCTCAGTTACTAATTGGAATCCATTTCTCTCTTTCACCATTCCAATGGAGGTTTTTTTTTTAATCCCTCAAAGGATGAATACCTTTAAATGATACCATCAGAAACATTAATAATAGCATTTTCCCCTTTGAGTTTAGAAAGCTGTTCAGAGCTCCAAATGGTCACTGGGCCAGTTAGGACACATCTGATTTACTCTTTAAAAGACCATCCACTTCCTATAACAAATAAGAGCCAGCATTTCCTGGGTACTTAGCATCGCCCTCTGTGTTTTTCGGGCATTGGTTTATTTAATCCTCGAAAGGAAGCTATCGAGCAGGTGAAATCACTTATCACCATCTTACAGATGAGGAGAGTGAGGCACATAGAGCATGAAGGATCTGCCTGAGAGAAAGGGTGTCTCTCCCTTTCAGAGGCCAGTAAGTAGCTGCACAAGACGACAGTTAATGATTCACCCACAGCCCTTGGGGAGCTCCTTTCAGTAGGGCCAACACATGCACTTAACACATTCTCTTTCTCTCTCTCTCTCTCTCCTTCCCTCTTTCTCGGTCTCTCTCTCTTTCATCTTCAACTCTTCTTCACCCAGCAAGAGGCGGGTGTCCAGCAAATTGCTTGGCAACGCGCGTAGGAAACTCCATCCAAAGCCCGGGTCTGCCGGGTCCAGGCCGCCTCTGGGCGCTGTCCAGCGGGCAGCGCGCCTGAGAGGCCAGGCAGGGGTCCTGTCTCCGGACACCCCGAAGGTGGGGCGGAACGCCAAGGCCGGGATTTCACGCGGGGGTGGGGGTGAAGGCACCGTCCCCAGGGACACCTGTTGTCGCCTCCCCACTCGGGCCAATAAAGATGTCGCGGGGACTCACATTTCAGGGAAGACACCCGTCCGCAAATAGTGTCCGCGTAGGGATGAGGGGTTCGCAGGTGTCTTCCCTGACAATCCCCCCATCTCGCCCACCTTGGGCGGGCTCACCTCACCCCCTCCCACCCCACGCCGCCGGCTGGTGGAAATGTCGCGCCTCCCCGGGGCTCCGACCGAGGAACGCGCGGAGGTGTGGGGGCCCGCGGGGCGAGGGGCAGCACCCGCGGCGCTAGGACCTCGCGGGCGGCCCGCCCCCGCCCCCACCCCTCGCTCGCTCCACCTGCGGAGCCCCACCGGCGAGGCACGCTCGCCCTCCACCGCGGGACGCGGGCGCTGTTACCTGCGACGCCTCCTGCAGGCTCCCAAGTGTCGGCCGGAACGCCGCCGCGGTAGAGCCAGCAGGGCTGGCCGGGGAATCGTCGCCCGGCCCCGCCGCTCTCGCTGCCCTCCCTTGCGGCCGCAGCGCCGCCGCCTGCTCCCGACTCTCCAGGCTAGCTCCGCGCCCGCCGGCTCCTGGCGCCGCTCCCGCCGCTCCTGATTGGCCGCGGCGCGCGCCCGAGCCGCGCCCTGATTGGGTGGCCGGGAGCCGGGGCGGTGGGACGGGCGGGGCGCAGCCTGGATCTGCTCCCGGTGCCCCCGGCGCAGCTGCCTCGCGTCTCCGCTGCACCTCCGGACCGAGATCCAGACACGAAACCGGGATCCTGCCCCTCTGCGCCGAGTGAGGCCGGTTGTGGAGGCACGGACTGGAGCGGAAAGTAGCGCAAGTAGCGTGGGGGTGGCGGGGAGTGGGGATCGCCTTGGAGTCTGTCCCACACCCCACACCAAGGCTGGACGGTGGAGATCCTTGCTTCTCCGGCCTCACTCCTACATGGGGTTTTGACTTCGTGTTCATTTTTATACTTTTTACTGAAAAAAAAAAAAAGGCGTAGGACACAGGACAGTGGCTTGTAAACAGTGGGCGCCAAATTGTGTTTGTGGACTTAGGTTGGACTTGACGCACAATCTATTTCTGTGTGGTCCAAGCAGAGTTCGCAAAAGGGAAGCGACTTGTGCGAGGTCCTAATCGCGTTAACAATTTAGTAAGAGCGAGAAAGATGGTGAGATAGATCTTCATTTACAAGGACCTTAATACTTAGCTAGGGAGATAAGGTTAAATGATAATGGTAATGGTAATAATAATAATAATTATAATAATAATAACCCTAACTTTTCTATGGCACATATTGTTTGCCGGGCACTTTTCTAAGTGCTTTGCATATATTAATACGTAAGCACAATAAACAGCTGACCTAAAGATGTCCACATGTCCTGTGAAACGTGTGACCAAATGACATCAGCCTGGAGTGTAAGAGATTTTCATCTGGAAGACACACCAGCAGTCATTCCACACTGCAGGTAAGAGGCACAAGTTAGAATGGAGAAAAGAGCATAGCGAATTAAAATTGTTCCTATCTTCCATTTCTTCTCCCATAGTTCTTTAGCCCTCCCAACATTTTGTCTCACCTGAACTGGGCCTTTCTAAAGAATAAGAAGAACCACATAAATTCAGGGTTCTGCCAGAACTTTGTTTTACCACTCATAAAAGGAGCCCCCTCTAAGCATCCAGGTAACAGTGAGTAGAAAAAAGTAGCACAGTTTATATTTTAGCATCTTTGACTTTGGTTGCACTAATACCTTGAAAACAAATATGTAACCATTTTCCTACAAGTATTTCCTCTAGTTCTATTCTCCTATGTTGACAGAACTCTAGAGGGAGAAATTTGGGTTGGTAGAGAAAGACCGGAGTGAAAACCAGCTTGACTGACTCTGCACAGCTTGATTTTTACCCTAGAGTAAGCTTAACGTCATTTACTTTGAGGAGCCCAGGACCCTAGAATTAAATTAGCTCAGTTTTCCCAGTTTATTTCAATGGATGAGCGATCAGTTCACTCTATATTGAAAAGACGGACTGGCCTGGGTGGAGCCTCACCTGATAGGAACACCAGAGCAAAATAGACTGTGTGAGGAAGGTTCTTATACCAGCATCCCTCTCCAAGCTTCAGAAGCACATGGAGACATCAGCCCATCATTCCAGTTGCTCACTTTTCATAGCTGTGGCTTTTGCCAAAGCAGAAGTTCCATTTGGATTGGTCCCACTATCACTCCAAAGAAGAAAGGCTTCTTTAGGTGGAGAACTATGTTGACCCAAGATAATTTCTTAAATCAATAGCCCTGGTTGCATCACACTAAACTCAGCCTTCTGAAGGATGAGAAGTGAAAGAAGAATCTGGATTCCACTATGTCTACCCTGGAATCTTCTTGTGGGCAGGAACTGTTTATGACTCTGTCTGTCCCCTATCTCATCTCACAAAATGTTTGCTTAGTTGTTCCTCCTGCATCACATTTCTGTGGTGACTCCTATTTAGCACTCAAGAATCAATGAAAATGTCCTGTCCTCGGTGAGGCTTTCACTAACTCTCCCAGGCAAAGGGAGTGATCCCCTTGTCCCTGTTATATTCTCATTCCAGTACAAAGCAACAATATTCCAACTCATTTCCAATGCCCGGCCTAGTACATGGAACTCAGGAGTAAGTACTCAACAAACTTGAACTGATTGCCTAAATTCCTTACAGGTAATAGAGTGGCATTAAGGAGACTGGGGCCACACCCCTATGCCATTCAACAGGGCATCCTCCAGTGCCAGGCTGGCTGGATATTTGATGTGAGTCAAAGTGATCATCTGCCCAGTCTAATAGTGAATAGGTAGTTTCTATATGTTAGGCACTGTCAGGTAAAGAGAAGAATAAGGTCTGAAATCTACACAAGATGAAATGATGCAGCTAATTTAGAAAATGGTTTGGTGGTTCTCAAAGAGTTTAACAGAGGCCCAGTAATTCTACTCCTTGGTACATACTCAAGAGAATTTAAAACATATGCCCATGCACAAACTTGTACGTGAATATTCTTAGCAACATTATTTATAATAGCTATAAAATTGAAACAACCCAAATATCCACTAGCTGATGAATAGGTGAACAAAATGTGGTACATCCATACAATGGAATATTATTCAACCATAAAAAGGAATGAAGACTGATATATGCTACAAAATGGATGAACCTGGGAAATATGCTAAGTGAAAGAAGCCAGAAACAAAAGGCCACATGTTGTATGTTTCCATTTACATGAAATATCCAGAATAAGCAAATCTATATAGACTGAAAGCAGATTTGTGGTTGCCAAGGGGTCAGGGGAAGGAGAAATGGAGAGTGACTGCTGAGTGGATATGGGGTTTCCTTTTGGGTTGATGAAAATGTTCTGGAATTAAATAGTGGTTATGGGTGCAAAACTTTGTGAATATACTAAAAACCACTGAGTTGTAAAAAGCAAAACAAAACGTGTACACAGCAGGCATTCAGAGAGTTTGGAAACCATCAATGAAGAAAATGTTAGTTAAATCCTGAAGTGTTAGTAACCAACAGTGTGAAGTGTAGAAGAACAGAAAGGCCTATAAAACACAGTTAAAAGTTGGCTTGTTTCACCTCCATGCTCCCACCTTCAGCAACCGAGAGGGGATTTACTCCATAGATCCACATTGTCCAATCAAACATTCTATGCTAATGGAAATGTTCTTTAGCTGAGCTATCCAATTTGGAAGCCACTAGCATATGTGGCTATTGGACACGTGAAATGTGGTTAGTACCACTGAAGAACTGAATTTTAATTGCATTTAAATTTAAATAGCCACATCTGGCTATTGGCTACTCTCCTCTAAGTATAGCTTTTGCTGGTTTAGAGGACTGAAGTCATCTTAACTGACCATACGGAAAAGTACTGGAGGGTATCGGAGTGGGAGAGTCAATGTCTTTATGTTCCATAGCCTGACTCCAACCTGTATCCACTAGAAATCCTTCAGTAAGATCTCACTGCTCCTACCCTTCTCCCTTCTATGAACTCTTAATGAGCTTCAGTCAATAATACAGCATTTGGTTTTGTTTTTATGGCAAGGTGCTTCCATTCCACAAATATTTATGGACCACGCACTCTGTGGAATTCTGGGAAGAGGGATTGTAGACAACGTCAGCCAAATTCCAAAGGGCTGGTCTCAAGAAGGCAGGCAGGGAGAAGAGACAAGAGAAATCCCTCACAAGGACCTGGCTCCTTACTCCCTTTCCTCCAGTATCCTCCATACACACACACACACACACACACACACACACACACACTATTGAGTGGGAAATATTGCTATTAGGATGCTGAAGTGATGTTGAAGAATATTTAGATTTCCTGTTTCCAAGCCAAGCCTTGTAACATCCTTAACTCCTTCAATACACCTTCGAGTTCATGTTGATCTTTCTCTTCTTTGAACTTTCACTGAATTTGAAATCAATAGAATGTAATGACTTTCTAAGTGTTCTTCCTTAATGTGGTGTCCCCACAGCAAGATTCATTTGTTGCACAAATGTTTATTGAGCTCTGCTTATTTTTATGCCAGAACAGTCCTAGGAGCTGTGGATAAAAAGAAAGATAGGGTCACTGGGAAGTTTAGAGCCTAATGAGGAGGCACACAAAGAAATTATTCTGCAAAGTTTGGCCTAAATGTGTAGGAAGTTTCACTGAAAGCAGAGGGCAAGGAGCAGCTGGGTGTACACAGAGAAATCAGGGAAGGTTTCTCAGAGGAGCTGACATTTAAACTAAAGGAACTTGAAGGATGAGTAAGTTTTTTAAAAACATTTTTAAAAATGTAATTCATTTATACTGCCCACCTTCCAAAATTGCATTTGAGGTAGTATATTGGAAGTTTTGAGGACCAGTGTTTGAAAGAATGAATTAACCTCAAGATCCAGCTCAACATCTGTGACAGTGTTTTGCATTGCTGACAAGGGTACTAACTGGACGGTCATTCTTGCTGCCCTCAAGGCTGATTCCTGAGTGCAAAACAAAATAAATATAAGGCTCTCTGATCTCAAGGAATTCAAAATCTCTCTTCCTCTACTATTGCAATATCCTTCTTGCCGGTCTCTTGTGTTTAATCTTATTTTCTTCTTTTCCAGTGTATCCCAAACCTCAGTCATTTGTGTCTCACTGTCACCAGTCTTTCCATATCCATGTATCATCTGCACTATCATGTACTTGTTTCTTTACATTGGCTCTCCTCTAGCTCAGCTTCATTGAAAAGGAATTTTTATCTCATTATCATCCGTGAAAAACAAGTATCACTTGCCATAAATAGAATGTTAACCACAAAAATAGTACAATGAAAGTAAAACCACATTATCTAATCTTAGCTTAGTTGGCTGCCAAAGTTCTGAGTTTGAGGCCCTGCTCTTTCTTTCATAAAGAGAAAGATTATCAAGACTTAGAGAGGTATTAAAGACATCAGCACCAAAGTGATCATTTCTCCTTGGCTAAATCAAACAGACTGAAAGAGAATTGCAAAAAGAATAACTCTCTCACTACATGAGCTAATGAAATTTAATGTCCCTTTTCCATTCCACTTACAACCAGCTTCTGCACCAAATAAAGTCTGCTCATGCTGGGTACCACATATTTGTAAACACTGCTCTGATCCATCCCTCTCATAGGTATCAGAATGATCTAACTCAATGTGATTATTTCTCTCCCCTATTCAAAATCCTTCAATAGCTCTTCACTACCTAAGGGAAGAAATCTTAGTTCCTTACCATGGGCTACAAGATCCTCCTGGATCAGGCTTAGCTTACTTCTCCACCTTCAACTCTTATCCTCTTTAACTTTATTCCACCAATACAGAACTATTTGTAGTTCTCAGAGTGCACCATAGACTCTCATGTCTCTGTGCTATTCCCTCTACATGGCATGCTTTCTACATGAGACATACAGTCTCACCCCAGACCTGCTGAGTCAGAATTTCTCAGAGGGAGGCCTGAGAAGTTTTTAGGGATTTGTATTTTTAATAAGTGTCAGGTAGTTCTTTTTTTTTTTAATTTTTAAAATGGCATGCTGTTCCCCATCTACACCCATCTTATCATCTTTCATTTCCCTTCTGTGCTCATTTCTATTTATCTGCCTAGTACCCTACAGATACACAGACATACACACACGTGCACACAGCAAGACATATCAGCTCCAAACCACAACAGGATTCCTTCCAAAACACCTGCCCCTTTTTTTTCTGGGGGATCTTCATCCACTGCCTCACCCATGTGTCTCTGGCAGGCACCGACAAGTTCTCACATGACTCCACACCTCTTATCACAGCTGGTTGGTCTACAGGTAGTCCACTGAACGAAGGTGAGCCAGCCAGAGTTCCTGAGAATTTCCTATGAAGAGCAAAAAATTGGCATCACTCTTTCTCTAAGGTGCAGAGAGAAACAGGCAAACAAAGCAGAAAGGGATTCTCCACTCCATTTGTGCCGCAGACCAGCTATTTCCTTGCCCCTCCTTCTTTCAGGTCATTCACCTTTTCCTTTTATGTTGTGAAAGAGACCCAATATCTTTACAATTCAGTCTTTTTCCTAAACTATTTTGAGTTGAGTTTGTTATTTATAACCAAGTATCCTAATACATTCCTAATCATCCTTGAAGTCCCAACACAAATGCTACTCTTTTGTGAAGCCTTCCCTGTCTCTTCCAAGCCAACAAAGATGCCCCTTCTTTTATGCCTTCCTGCATCTTGTAACACCAGACCCAATTTCCAACAAGTATCTTTGTCATCTAGACATTTTTGTGTGAGAAATGGTGTCCTGTCCTCTTTGCCTGTTTTGATTATTCCATTTACCACCTGATGGGAAGGGAAACTTAGAACATAACAACCTATTGACACTATGCCCTAAGTAAAGTCGATATTGAGTGAAAAAAGGGCTTTTAAGTTTCAGCTGTTCCACTATGAAGAATTTTTTTTAACCACGTTGAATCCTAAGAAGAACTTTAAAAAACTGCCAACTGCAAGAACTCTCTTCTGCTGCCCAACCAGGATGGAACTAGAAATGCACCCCATAAACAGCAACCACCAAGGGGTAGATGGTACCTAGATATGCAGCAGAAAAGACTGAGGAACACACGGAGGGGAGATTCAGAGAAAGAAGGGAGGTCTGGGAGAGAAGGGACTGTAGGATCCTATCTGTCATTGAATCTCTGTGAATGAGAGGCAGGTCCGTAAAGGAATGTTTTCCACCATCCATGAATGTCCATCTGCGATCATACTTGGCCAAATAAGATTGAATTCTCTTAGGTAATTGATTGGACCTATGCACCCTTTCGAATGTTACTAGGCATCATGGGGTCATATCTGTTTGCATATTTATCTCATTTCTAGGCTGGAAGCTCCTTTTCAAAAGAGACTCTTTCAATCTTGGCATGTTGGGCATTAGCGTCTAGCCCACTCTTGAGTTGGATGCTTATAGCCTATATTTAAGTTAGGAATGCTTTCCAGCTGCAAGTATCAGAATAACCAGTTATAATGGTTCAAGCAGTAAAGACATCTAATTATCTGACATGAACAGTCTGAATGCTGGCAGCCCCGAGGTACGATGTTCCATGACATCTAAAGGACCTAGGCTCTTTCTGTTGTTCCACCCTTGGCTTTTTGGCTTTATCTTAGGCTGCTTGTCTTGTGAATGCAAGATGGTTGCCACAACTCCAGGTAGCTCATCTTCAGAAAAGCATATACAAGAAAGGAAGAAAGTGGGCTGAGCTGGGAGAGAAGTTTTCCTTTATCAGGGAGGAAAATCTTTCTCAAACACCCCTTCCTCTCCATCTGGTAAACTTCCCTTTATATCCCATTGGCTAGAACTGAGCCGCATGGCCATCCCTAGCTACAAGAGAGGCTCGCAAAACTAGTGCAGTCTAGGACTTTTCCATAACTGTGAAAAGTACTTGTATTGCTCGCAGTATCGCCCTTAGACAGGTAAATGGGGCACTGGCTTTCCCCACAATTTTCCTATTTGTTCTGGAGACTGGCTAGGGCTAATGTGCTATCTAGGTGGGGTATCTTGAGCCTAGGCAAATATCCAAATGTACCTCTTCCTTCATTACATTTCTTGCTTTGGGCACTCTTGGACCCTCTATTCTGCACATGGAATTGATGAGAGGCCCTGAAAAGCTCTTAGATTCATACCTTTGGGATCTCTTTAGTAGCCCATGGCTGGCTCCTCCGTCTAGGAGAGTGTCCTGGAGCACAGATTGCCTCACTGGCCTCTGTGTTTCTTCCTTTGCAGGACGGCCCAAGATTGGGCTGCCAGAATGGTGCTGGCATGCTGATTTGGGGTGACTCTCACATCATACACAGGATGAATTTAGGGCTCTGGGTTACTGACAGTTCTCTGCCAAATGTTGGCTTAAACTTCATGTGTAGGCCCATGCATTGGTCTTGACTGGCCATATTCCAACTGCAGTGCTGCTTCTGGTCTACCTGAGGGCAGCTGGGGTGGGGGCAGGCATTCTTCACTCTGTGCTGTCACCCAGGGCAGTTACCCCATCCTTTCCATGGGTTCCCCACCAGGTTTTCAGGGGTGGTGAATCCGTCCCAGGGATTTCCAGCTCCACAATGCCAGCAGGCCCTTCTGATTGGGGTCCTCTCTTGCCTCTGACCGATGCAGTGACATCTTGCCCTCCCTGGTCAGTCTTCAGCCATGTAGATGAGGGGTGGATGTTCCTTGTGCTCTTCTCATCCATCCTCTCCTCCCCACTAGGGTTAGTGTGTGCAGCAGGGGTGTGGTCAACACTGAGAGATAGCATTCTAGGAATGCAGTGATTAGATAAGTGGCGTTCAAGAGAAGACCTGGCTGGAAGAGGTGTTTTCTACCTTGATAAGGTTGCTGTGAGAGTCAGATGAGATTGAACCCCTGAGAATCCTTTGTGATATATACAACTGCACACAGATATTATTTTTATTAGTTTTACTTGAAATATAAGAAAACTAAGAAGGAGGAAACGAAATGACCTCCCAAGATAAAGAGGCACCATGGGAATATTTTTGGGAGGGAAACCTGTAATTTTAGACAACCTGGGATTGACCCCCAGCTCTGCCTCCTCCCAGCTGTGGGATGCTAGTTTGGTTTCTGAGCCCTGGTTCCATTTTATAAAGTGGGGATAACAATATACCTACGTTGGAGGATTTGGGTGAGCGTTGAATGAGGAGATGCTTGTAAAGAACTTAGCACTGTTTCTGACATATAGTAGATACTTGATAAATATTAGCTATTATTCTTATTTTACTACACAGATATTTGTAGCAGAGCTACACATCTCCTGGGATACAGCCCTGCTCTGCACTAGAAGTAAATTACAAGAAAGAATTTTCAAAATGAGATTGACCGAGGGGCGCCTGGGTGACTCTCAGTTAAATGTCCACCTCTTGGATTTGACTCAGGTCATGATCTTAGGGTCGTCTCCGTGCTCAGCATGAAGCCTGCTTGAGATTCTCGCCCCCTGCCCTTCCCCCCACTTGCAAGTGCATACTCTCTCTCTCTCTCTCAAATAAAATCTTTAAAAAAAAAATGAGTTTGACAGAGGCTGCACCGATATGTTAGGGTATCTGGCATTTGAGAGATGGGTGGGAGCACAGATTGAGAGCCAAGAGGCTTGGGTTTGAATCCTGGCTCAGTCATGTAATAGTTGTAAGACCCTTGGCAAATTGCTTAGCCTCTCTGTGTCTCAATTTCTTCACCTGTAAAATGGGTCCTTGAGAGGGGTAAGTTAAGGTACATTAAGTGTTTAGGATGGTGGGTGGCACATGGTATTAGAAATTATTCAATACTGGGGTGCCTGGGTGGCGCATCTGACTCTTGATTTCAGCTCACGTCATGATCTCAGGGTCATGAGATGGAGCCCCATGTGGGGCTCATGCTGGGTGAGGAGCCTGCTTAAGATTCTCTGTCTCCTTCCCCCTCCGCATCTCCCCTGACTTGCCCCTTCTCTAAAAAAAACCCCAGAAATTATTCAGTACTATTAATATTATAATTTTGAATTCATTTAAAATTCAAAATAAAGTTTGTTCTTAAAAATCCCAATTGGCTTTTATTTCAAGGGGCCTGGATTTTAGCAACCGGAAAAAAAGAATAGCACAGAGATACATCCCATGTCTACGTGCCATTGCCTATGCTGTCCCCTTTGCCTGAAATCCCTCCTTTTGACCCATAAAACCACTACATAGTCTCCACTCCCCCCGGGGCCAGAGCTCATTCTCTCCTGCTCCCATCTCTCAAACGGGACTGATGTCTCCTTTTTAGTCATCTATGTATTTCCTGACATTCCTGATAAATATTTCTTAAATGGAAAGCTGAAAGAGAGTAAGGTGCATCATTTTAAACTCTTGTATTTTGCAGGCGAATGCAGAATTGTGATTCATCGTGGAACTGACACGCTTCCTGTCAGAGGATGAAGGGACTGGCGGAGGCCTTCAGGAGATGGTGCCTCTAAACCCCAGGGGGAAAACACGCGAAGAATAACAAACCATCCCATCTTTAACGAGAAAGAGCTCCAGCTTGCATGGCTGCAACAGTCAGGTAATGTGAACCAGAGTGGGCGGTAGGTCCAGGAGAGTTTTCATCTGAATCCCAATTCTGTCATTCAGTGGCTGGTGGGCCTTCGAACCAAACGTCTGAGCCTATTTTCTTACCAATGGAATAAGGGCAATACCAGCCTCAAGGGGGAACTTCAATGATGAAATGAGTTAGTGCAGTGCCTGGCACATAGAAAATGCTTAATGAACTGTTAAGTGAATGAATGGTGCTTTAAAACAAAACAAAAGAGCACCGTTATTGGCTGAAGCTACATGACCCTTAAAAGCACAGCGTTGCTTAATCTTGTACACAACTTGTCCTTCTCAGCATATCGTTCCGCACATCGTCCGGGGCGGGGCGGCTTCTCAGACACTCAATCTGGGGCTAATCTGCAATCAAGAAGCCCAGGCAGGCGGAGATTTGGCAAACCCCTTCCCCAAGCCCTTCTCCTCTCCAGCTGGCTCAGAAAAGCTTCCATGGCAATGACAAGAACCTACTCCCTTTTATTGTTTTTCTTTTCCCAATGATGGAGCAATCACATGATTTCAACAGGAAAAACAACTCTGGACTCCGACTGTTTGGATTGAGCCACAGACTTTCTGGTCTCAGTCCCTGGAGAGAAAAGACATTCCCAAGGCTGGTGTGGGATGGGGGACGGCTGGACGACAAGCCTGGCCGGCACATGCTCATACCAGACTGGCCAACTGAACGGGTTCTGTCTCAGGATCAAAAGCAATTCTTTTTTTTTTTTTTAAGATTTTATTTGTTTATTTGACAGAGTGAGAGAGGGAACACAAGCAGGGGGAGTGGGAGAGGGAGAAGCAGGCTCCCCGCAGAGCGGGGAGCCCGATGTGGGACTCGATCCCAGGAGGATCATGACCTGAGCCGAAGGCAGACGCTTAACGACTGAGCCACCCAGGCGCCCCTCAAAAACAATTCTAAAGAGGAGCTCATATTTCCTGAGTGCGGAGGACCAGGCACTTTACAGGTGTTGTCAAATTTAATCATCACAACACTCTGAAAGGAGTGTTCATTATCTTCATTCTATCAGCGAGGAGAATGAGGCTCTGAGAGGAACCCCTGAGGAGCACACAGGAGTCAAAAGCTTTGCTAGAATTCCACACATTTTACAAGCCCCCAGAGCCTGTGTGTTATCTCCTGGCCCCACCAAATCCTAAAGAGCCCAGGATCTCCTGGGACCTGGGGGCCGGTGGAAATGCAAGTTCTGAATTACTAGGTCCAGGATAGGGCATGAGACTCTGCATCTCTAACAGGCTTCCAGGGGATGCTACAGATCCAGGGGCTTTGACTGAAGTACCCACTGGTCTTACCCCAGTGGTCTCCCACCTTGGCCGCACATTGGGATCACCTGGGAGCTTTCAAAATGCTGATGTCTAGGCCCCATCCTAGACATTCCAGTATGATAGGGTACAGCTCTGCGCAGGACTGCCGAAACTCCCCGGTGACTGCTCAACGGCTGGTGGCCTCCGGGGCCCACCAGACCGCCCTTCGCTGAGGGGCGGGGAGTACTTTCTGCAGGCTCCTGAGGCTCCGGGATCACCCTGCGCTCCCCTTTCCCAGACACGGAGGCTCTAAGGCTGGGCTCTGAGGTCGCCCTTGCAATGGCCTGTCTCAGCAAACTCCCAGCCTAGGACGAGGCCAGAACGGCCACCTGTTTCCTTGAAATAGTTCGCAGCTGTGCTGGTGACCTCACCGCCCTGGCTCTGCCTCTGGCCAAGCTGCGATCCCGAAAGCCCTCTTCCCCAGTCCTGAATTCAGGGCGGCTTCGGGCTCCCCCGCGCGGCCGGGCAGGGGAGGGAGAAGAGCCCCTGGCGAGGCTGGAGCTTCGGCGGAGGACCTGGCCGCACCCGCACCAGGGGACCCAAGGTGGCCAGACTGTGAGCGCGGCGGGGCAGCCTCGCCCGCGCCTCCCTCCCCAGCACTGGGGAACTGATGAAATCACACCTTCTCCTCCCTTTCAATGACGTATAAACAAACAAACGTTGGAGTACCCAAGAGAAAACGGAAAGGATGTCTCCTCTTCCCCTCACGCTTCCCAGAGGCAACCACAAGTTTCGGTGGGGCTCATAGCCATCCAAACCTTTTGCTATGCATAAATATGTATATGTACACAGACACGTAATTACTGTGTTATAAACAAAAGTCACCATGTAACATTTTCCCAAACACTATCTTTGATATCTTTTCCATACACACACACACACACACACACACACACACACACACACATTATTTTAGTGTGTCTCAAACTTGTCTGGGAATCAGAATCTCCTGGGGGCACTTTTTAAACATACAGTCTCACCCCAGACCCGCTGAGTCAGAATTTCTCAGAGGGAGGCCTGAGAAGTTTTTAGGGATTTGTATTTTTAATAAGTGTCTTAGGTAGTTCTTTTTTTTTTTTTAATTTTTAGGGGCACCTGGCGGGCTCAGTTGGAAGCGCATAGAACTCTTGATCTCAGGGTTATGAGTTTGAGCCCCATGTCGGGTATAAAGATTACTTATTTTTTTTTTAATTTTTAGAAATTGAGATGTAATTGACATATAACATTGTATTAATTTTAGGTACATTTCAGGTGGTTCTTATGGAAAATGTCTTGCCTTTTTAATAGTTGTACATGTCCAATATAAGAATCTACCATTGTTTAGTTATCAGTCCCCAATTGTTGAACATTCAAGCTGTTTCCAGTATTTTCTTCAAACTATACACAATACTATAAACTGTACTATAGTACTGCACTGTACAGGTACTCATGAGTGTGTTTCTGAAGGATAGTTTCCAAGGAGCAGAATAGCTAAATCTCAAGCTTCCCCTGAAACTTCTTTTCCCATCTCAGAGTGTTTATGTTTGAAACATGGAACCTCATAGCAGGACAGAAGTTGAAAACCTGCATGGTCAAGACCACAGAAAATATAATGTGAGTCACAGACATCATTTAAGATTTTCAGTAACCACATTCATTTTAGTAATATATTTTATTTAATCTGATATATCAAAAGTATTATCCCAACATATAATCGAGTGAGAATTATTAATAAAATATTTTACATTTTTCATGCTAAATCTTTGAAAATTGGTGTGAGTTTTACCCTTGACAGCACACCTCACCTGAAACTAGCCACATTTCAAGTGTTCAGCAGTCTCATGGGGCAAATGGCTACTGTACTGGACAGTGCAGATCTAGATCTTTTATTTGACTGGGGAAATATTAAGGGGGCAGGAAATGAACAATTGTGTAGCATCTACAATGTACTTGTCCCTGAAGGGGCACTTAACATTCATTATTGTTAACTGAGGGGTGAGATTTTTGCAGAGGATTAAGCTGAATAACAGTTCAGGTTAAATACGTTGTCTCTTCAAAACAACGCTATGAAGAAGACAGGGCATGGGTTATTAGGATGTCCATTGTTTCAACTCGAGGTTGATAATTTGTGTAGATCACAGAGCCACAAACACAGAGGAGGAACCAGAATCATGTCTTTAGATTTCAGAGCCTATGCTTTTTTTTTTAATCCCACAGATATCTCCACGACAGTTGTGCAAAATCCATTCTTACATTAATGGTGAAGAGAGACCTAGCAACAAATTAAGAGAATTACGAGAAGTCACCTCATCAATCTAAATACTGTGCCGTTCTGTAGACTCGTGGTTAAAAACGTGTGCTGACGCCTCCTGGTGGAAGTCAGAGTTACTGCAAGCCACTGGTAAATTGGCGTCTGTGGGCCTTCCTAGTTCGCGAACTGAATATACAAAAATATGACAACTATTACTTAAAGGTTATTGGAATAAAAAAATGGATTCCTTCTACTGGGAAAAGATGGGAATCATTGATGTAGATTTTTTTTGTCTCAGACTGTCAGAGGGACGGTCACAAACTGAATAGTTTCAGGTTCTGTTTTGGATATCTTCTTTTTTAAAAAATTTTTAAAGTGTATATGAATGTACTTGGTCATATCTCAGTTTCTAAGTTTACTAGTGGGTGTGTTAGTGTGTCTATTCTCTGGCTAGGGTGTCAACTCCTCAAGGGAGAAAGACTTGGAACCCTTAATTTAAGGCTCTGGACATTCTGGGCACTTGAATGAATATTATTTATTGATTGCCTGGGGAAAAAAATGGGTTAAGAGCACAAAATAAATATGGCGTTTGTAATGGAATCTATTGATTCTGCCCGCCCTAAATCCTTTTCTTTCCCCCTCAAACCACACAGCCCTAGTGAGGCTGTCAGTCAGTACCCTGCTTCGGGCTGAGGGGTGGGCCTAGAGATTTGGCTCTTTATAGAGTGACAGGGCTAATGCTTCATCTTCAACAGCTGGGCTAACAATTTCAATTAGCTAGACCTTTAGTCTCTCTAATGTTTCAGCTTTTTCTAGTATGATTCTGAGACCTTCCTCCCCCACCCCCAGCCTAATGAAAAATTCCCTTTTCATTATTTCCAGAATAAATCTAAAATATAATGTATTACATTTCCATTTAATTCTGCTTCCATTTGGAAATTTGAACAAGTTCTCATAAGGATCAAAGGAATGGGAGCCTTCTAGTTGTCAAATGTACAACCAGTTATTTTCCTCCAGAGATCAAAATGACAACTAACAACTAAATTGATAAGAATTGTCTTTTAAAATGTTATACTACAATTTGGTAACCCCCAAGGGTTTTGGACACCAGCAAGAGCTGTTAGGTGAGGACAAAGAGAAACCCTTTGTGAAGAAAGTGGATTGGCTTCAGACTGGTGCCTATTGAAGCTGGAAGACTAGAAGTTCAGGCTTCTGGTGCTAGAGCCACAATTGTACCCCCTTTAATTATTAACTATCATTGCAGCAGGCTGACATGGGGAATTAGGCCCTCCATCATCCAAGAGAGACCTACTGAGGTCAGCTGCCCCACTAACCCTATGGGTCCTACCCCTTATGACTTCTCCCTCCCTACCAGCTCCATGCTCCTGACCCATCACAACCCCTCACTAACCCCAACACCACAACAGGAGGGGCTACATCCTGACCTCCACCCACAGATCCTCAGACTGTGTCCCCACTCTTAGCAAGGATACATTGACTATAGAAAGATCTGGGTCCTTCCACCAAAGCTAAGGTAGCAGAACTGAGTTATTTTTGAAGACCATATTTGCAAGCACTAAAAAATCAAATACTGGGGCGCCTGGGTAGCTCAGTCGGTTAAGCGTCTGACTCTTAATTCCAACTCAGGTCATGATCTCAGGGTCGTGGGATCAAGCCTCAGATTGGGCTCCTCGCTCAGCAGGGAGTCTGCTGGAGATTCTCTCCCTCTACCTCTGCCTCCAACCTCTACCCTGTGCTCTCTCTAAAAAAATCTTTTTAAATCTTTAAAAAAATCGGGCGCCTGAGTGGCTCAGTTGGTTAAGCGACTGCCTTCGGCTCAGGTCATGATCCTGGAGTCCCGGGATCGAGTCCCACATCGGGCTTCCTGCTCAGCAGGGAGTCTGCTTCTCCCTCTGACCCTCTTCCCTCTCGTGCTTTCTATCTCTCGTTCTCTCTCTCTCTCAAATAAATAAATAAAATCTTTAAAAAAAAATCTTTAAAAAAATCTAGTATTGACAAATTCAAGGTGATATGACAACAATACCAACACAATTATGTCACCGCTTTTGACTGTGGACAAGCTACCATATTCATAGTGATTCCACAACCTATGAAAAGAATGTCAGTGACCTCCATGGTTTTTTGAGTTTTGCTCATGATTTAATACAAGTTAATCATCAACAAAATGCCCTAGTAGTGACTTTTGGACTAAGCCATGGGTTTTATCAAGAGTGGAATCAGCACTGAATGCATGAATCCATACTTAACACTCACTCAATACCTATTGATGGCAACCTGATGAGTAAATTTAGAAAAGAGCTTAATGAGCCTTCATCCAACTGGGTGGCAACCTTAATGGCAGAAGGAGGAAGGATCCAGCACACTGCACATGTAAAGAGCTCCTCACTGGCTTATGATATGCCATGCCTAGGAAATAAATCATTGAAGGCAAGAATGTTGGTGGAAGTTTTGGCTGCAGGATATTTACCAAACCAGGCAGGGACTCTTTGCTCAAGAACAGAAGTTACTGTGGCAAGTGTGAAGTCACTGTATAAAACCACAGTGGGGATTCACATCTGGCCATGTGGGAGTTACCTGCGTGCTTGAGCAGAGAGATGAAAATGGGAAGTCCAGGAAGCTCCATTTTCGAGCTCGTCACAGAGTTTTCTTCCAGTTGGGGAGGTGTTATGGAAAACCCCTGGTGATAACATCCAACTCCTGTGTTGTCGACACAGAAAATGGGGACAAAAGCCACCTGCGGTTCTAGCAGGTCCTTAAATCCAACTACTACGACAATGATCCTTCCATTGGTGATGTAAAAGGGGGACACTACTAGTTTTGCTAGCACTTTTTAAAGAAGATGTATGAAAAAGTGTAAATGCTGTTACATTCAGATTTTTTGCTTTTTTAAAAAAGATTTATTTATTTGAGAGGGAGGGAGTGTGCGCATGTGCATGGGAGCGCGAGTTGGAGGAGGGGCAGAAGGAGAGAAATCTCAGGCTGACTCCCTGCCCAGTGCCAGTTGACACGGGGCTCCATCCCAGGACCCATGAGATCCTGACCTGAGTGGAAACCAAGGGTCTGATGCTTAACCAATGGCACCACCTAGGCGCCCCCGGTTTGTTTGTTTGTTTGTTTGTTTGTTTGTTTTTGCTTTCAATGGAATGTTTGTATAGGCAACATAATCACATGGTTCGGGGTATACAGTCCAAAATTTATCTCCCACCTCTGTCCTGTCATCACTCAGTTTTTTTCCTCTAAGCTCACCAATGTCACTAGGAGCACATATATCTTTCTCTTGTGGTAACTGAGGTACACACACACGCATATGCATTCTTCCTCTCCATTTTTATGAGAATAGCACCATTTTGTAAACATTCTGCTCCTTGCATTTTTCACTTAATATATTTTGGAGATCTTGACATATTAATATGCAGAAGGGCTCCTAATTTTTTTGTGGTTACATAGTATCATATTCCTTGGGTGTGGCATAATTTGACCAACCAGTTCTTACTGATGGACATTCACATGATTTCTCATCTGCTGTTAGCAGTAGTGCTGCAATCCCATTACACCATACATTCTCAAGAGGGACCATATCACCCCTAAAGGGGTGTTAGTGTGTTCTTGGCAGGAGCAAAGAAATCTTCCTCTATTTATAAAGCACAGATATGCATAGTGTACACAAACACATATTCAGTATATGTGTGGTATTAAAATTTTATGAGGGTGGAGGCAGGTGATTAGGGGAAGAACAAATCTACAATGGTTCCTTAGGATACTGGCCATGAAACAAAGTGGAGAAACACTAACACTGTCTCAGTCCCTGCTGTCAACAGGACATGGCATTGCCACGACTGGCTTACACCTGGCATGGCACATCTTCTGGAACTGAGCACGTTGATGTTGGAGCAAAGATGGGATGCCAGTGGCAGGAGGATGAGGGTGACTGTCTGATTTTAGTCCCCAGGCTGCTGGCATCTGGACCAGGCGCATCCTCCTCTGAGCACAAGGACCCTGGGAGCCTCCCTTCGACTCTGCCCTCAGTATGTGGCCCAGGACATGGGATGGATGAATGAACACAGCTTTCCAGTGACAACCTTGCCTCTTTCTTGACTTATTCAAACATTTGAAATGTTAACATAGTTTTCTCTTGATTTTAGATTATCTAGATTTTAAGAAGTCCTCACAAATGTTGTCACTCAGTCAAAGTCTATTTATTCCTCACTGCTGATTTACTCATTTGGCACCAATAACAGTTTAGGATAACCCTTAACCTCCCTTTGACATTCTTTGAGGAAAAGAGGCATGAAGGGGGAATGAATTTGCTAAGAGAGTAGAACTTAAATGTTCTCGTGCACAAAAAGAGAGAGAGATCCATTTGTGAGGTGATGGATGTATTAATTAACTAGGTGGGGAATCTATTCCCAACGAATATGAATATCAAACCACCACCATGTACGCTTTAAATATCTTAGAATTGTATATGGCAATTATACGTCAACAAAGCTGAAATTGGAAAAAAAAAAATCACAACTAAAAAAAAACTATTGTGGGTCCTTCTCCAGTTCAGATCTGGTTAACACAGGAGAGCATTTCTCCCCTGAAGACATATGGGGCTCACACATAGGTGAGCCTCCTTGTTCCCTTGGATCCCCTTTCTGGGGCACACACAGAGATGAGGGAGCCATTTCCCTCACCACACCCAGCTGTTTCCTTTCTCAGTCTGTCAGACTTGTTTTCCTCCTCATAAACGATTGCCACCCCTTGCCCAGCCTTCCTGGGGCTGAATCGGCTTCCTGCTTCTGACCTGCGTCTATTTTCGTTCATCAGGAGCAGAGCCAGGTTGGAGGGCTGGCCAGTGGGGCGGATCCCTCAAGTCACAAGAGGAAAGAAAATGTCACCTAGATGCTAAAACCCACCCATAAAATGCGACCAACCAGACAAATGCTGTGTTTCCAAGAATTCCTCCCAGGGGCTGGAAGGGCTGCCTCAGGGAGCGTCTGGAGGGAGGGGCAGGACCCCTCACCCACCCAGGGCACCTGCTCTGGGAGTCCTGGTGGCCACCAGCTGCCTTCCAGGGAAGAGGGTCCCTTTGACGTAGAGCATGTTTCCTGCATGAATTATGCACATTCAGGGTGAGCTGGACAGCTCAGGACGGTGGGGGGAGGCGGAGCTGCCTCCCACCTCTGTCTTCTCCACCTTCCACCCTGTTCTCTAAATGATTTTGAACAAATATTTATTTATTTATTTATTTTAAAGATTTTATTTATTCATTTGAGAGAGACAGCGTGAGAGAGCCCAAGCAGGGGGAAAGGCAGAAGGAGAGGGAGAAGCAGGTTCCCTGCTGAGCAGGGAGCCCAACATGGGGCCCCATCCCGGGACCTGGAGATCATGACCTGAGCCGAAGGCAGACATTTAACCATCTGAGCCACCCCCTGAGCAAACATTTAAAGAATATTAGTTTGATCCGTGTCCATGATTAGCCTACCCGGGGAGCCTAGGGGTCTCGATCTAGTTGTAATCAGTGTTCATATTTTCTGAGACATCCTTTCTTTGTTGTTGGAAACACACATTTAAAAAGAAAAAAACGTGGGGCC